TATATATATATATATATATACACACACACACACAGACACACGAAAAATTTAGCTGTCGATTGCATACATAATTCTCAGGACTTGACAAAATATAATTTTTTTAGCATCATTGCCTTTTATTATGTTAATGAAACTGTTAAGGATTGGGCCACGATAGAACTTCCTACTTCACAAGCAAGAAATAAATACCAATGTAAAGAAACATATGTATATATTCATTTTACCTATTTCTCTTTCTTTAATAGTGTGCGCTCACACACGCACGCACACACATGCACATATATATATATATATATATATATATATATATATATATATATATATATATATATATATATATTATAGCTACTGACTCGTTAGTCGAGAAAGACTATTTCTATCACATTAACATATATGTTAAGACAAGTATTGCATCAAAAATTCACGTTGTTACACTAATTTTACACTAAATCGTACATATGCGCCACAAAAATGCACTTATTTGATTAAAATGATATAAAAAAATAAATTATTTCGTAATATTTGGTTTGGTTGTTTTTTAGCGGCGTATCAACAACTCTGTGCCGAAATCAAAACACACATTGAAACTTTATAATCAATTCGAGAGAATGACAAGATTCCATGATTAAATTATAATTACTTCGCTGTATCTTTTCTTACCAAATAATGTTACAAATCAAAACGAGGAGTGATAACTTGTTTCTCTTTACAAGAAATGAGATTAATCATAGCAAATTCATTTTTTAAACATTGCTTTGAAAATATATGCCATATCTTCATTTGACTTTTAAAATGGTCATTTTTCCCATTAAATATGTTGTTGGTCATTTTTACTATTAAAATTAATCATTAGTATTCTCTTATCATGAACTAGTAGTTGACTACTTCAATAACCACGAACACTTTCAGCAGACTAAAATATATATATATATATATATATATATATATATATATATATATATATATTCACTACATTAAATATGCTTAGTATATATATTTTGAAATATATATGCATATATTTCAATATATATATATATATACTAAGCATATTCAACTCCAATTCAACACGCGAAAGCTGGGAAGAAACGCTCCTATTCGTCTTTGAAACAATACAAAAAATACATTTTAAATTGTCAAACATCAAGATGAATTAACAACACTTACAACAATGAAAAGACGCGGCCGAAAGCGCTTGTGACAATGGACATTAGTGACAGATTCTACACTCCCTAGTTCCTATCAAACGGGAAAAATGTAAAAACGACGCTGGAAAAACTAAATAAAAATTAATTAAATTTTATTTCCCAGTCATATTTAAAGAAAGATGCTTAATAGAAAGGTTACTGACCAAATCTGCAACCAATAGAAAACAAATAGAGTAACATTCCAACGTACGTAACATTTAATTTAAAAGAGGACTCAATACAGAGTAGAGGAATTATTTTTTTATTTTAGGAAAACATAATAATCACTACACAATTGCAGTTATGTGTCCATACATAGCAAAATGCATCTAATCAAGCGATTGTAATCATTGTAATGAATCTCCTCAGGCGAGAGTAATTTTCAATCGCCCGATGAGATGCATTGATTTATATCGAAATATGACTGCAAATGTGTAACGATTTTTTTTTTCGGTGTAATATCCTAAATTAAATAAATTATATATATATATATATATATATATATATATATATATATATATATGTGTGTGTGTGTGTGTGTGTGTGTGTGTGTGTGTGTGTGTGTGTGTGTAAAATAGAGCTTGTACACGAATATGAGTATCCATCAAAAATAACATTTAAACAAAATAAATGAAAAATAACAACATGCCGGATTTCCTAAGAATAACTTTATATTAGGATACGATATACATCAAATATGGATGTTTCGAGAACCGGCAGAGAGTGTGAATTGAAAAGACACTATTTTCGTTTTGTTTGAGAGGATGACCCACGTGGCCACACGGTTAGGCTTATCAGATACACTGACGGTCCACCCATCGGGGATGTATATTCGAATCCTGCTATAAGACGCATATTTTTCTGACAAGATTTCTCGAATTTTCAGGCCCTTAGATGTAGTTGGATAAAAATTCTGTTTAATTAAATATCAGAGCTTCTACTCGAATATGAATATTCATAAAAATAGCGTTTAAGCAAAATAAATTAAAAATAATATATATACATACATATATATATACATATATATATTATTTACATTATTCGGACTATTGTCCTTATCTTTGTCACCATATTTATCACAACGTTTCGGCCGTTGTACGCTCCGGCCTTCTTCAGATGGTTGGAATTTCGAACTGAACCCTTTATTTCGCTCACTGTGGTAGAATGTTCTAGTTCCACGTGTCATGTTTGATGGATGTCAGTTATCGGTTATCTCTTGCTAATTTCCCTCTGAAAGTTCTCCACTGCCTTAACCGGGTATTGAACTCACACTCTTTGGGTCCTGTCACTGGATCTAACCAACGCCTTTATTCACTGTGCCATGTTTCCTTGAGGAAGAAGGCCGGAGTGTACAACGGCAGAATAGTTGTGATAAATATGGCGACAAAGATGAGGACAATAGTCCGAATAATGTAAATAATGTACATAATACCTCATCTCAGAAATATAGACATATATATATATATATATATATATATATATATATATATATATATATATATATATAGAAGAAATAAAAAAAAAAATATATATATATATATATATAGAAGAAATAAAATTCTTCAACAACCAGTTTTTGTCGGTCTTTGAAAACTTATAAATAATGTATATATATATATATATATATATATATATATATATATATATATATATATATATATATGTACAAACATATATTGTTACATATAACCGACAACGAATATGTTTGATCAGGAGCCGTTTTAAGCTTCGTATCGTGGCTTTAGTTTCGGGAGAAAATAAAGACAAAAACTGTCCAATATTTGGAGATATTTATTATGCTGTTATTCGATCTAATATTTCGACTCACATGAGCCATCATCAAAGTGGTTATATAGACATTACAGCAGAGATGTCCACCATCAAAGATGGCATCCTGTTAGGTTTACATAAAAGTTTGCTATGCGACGATAACGGTCGCGGAATAGCAGATGAAGGCCGTAAATCTGTAATGCGGTTCTATGACGTCGTATATGACCACGTAAGAGAAAGAAATTTCATCATCAGAACCATCTGTTTAGAAGAAATGTAATATATTTTGACTGGATTGAAAGGTAATTTTGGGTATATATATATATATATATATATATATATATATATATATATATATATATTATTATTTTAGTGGTTAATCGTGTTTGAGTTTTTAACACCATTTTTTCTTAAACAGTGAAATTAATAATCACTAGGCTGTGTCCCTTTTTTTCCAACCAGAAAACAGTTTTTCAAGCCAAATCGTGCCGCTACCATTGCGATTACGAAAACCTGCTTGACAGTTCAATGTTTGAGATACCTATTTAAGGAAAGTACATGACATGTTGGGACGACAAATATATATCTGCCCGTATCAGCTTCTTACTCGAAACTAAACAGACATATTTTAAGGAATTTTTTATCTGCCATTATTTTTATTACTATAACGTTAACACTGCAAACGTTAAATATATATATATATATATATATATATATATATATATATATATATATATATATATATATGATCACGCTTGATAATGCTTATCAAATGTGATCAAATATATATTTTTTCCCGATAGACTTTATCCATTTTTTTAGATAATTCATATATATATATATATATATATATATATATATATATATATATATATATTGTTGGGTGGGTAAATTGTCGTCATTTTATATTTTTAATTTCGACGGTGCACGTTGTTTGTTTTTATTTTATCGACTGCACAGTATAGTCGGGCCAATTGGCCACTGTCTGTGAGAAGAAAAAAAAAGAAAAAAAAACACCATGAAGCAATTCACTCCGCCAGAAATTTGGAAACGGCATGTTGCTTGGCAATCGCGCTCCAATACGAACATTTGAGAGTGATTGTGTGTCAGTACAGAGGATTCTGAATGAGTTGAATGAGTTTAATCGTGATTATCAATATGTTTGGAATGATCACTAGTGATGGCGATATTACGCCTTCTACAGGGCTTCAGACTTAACACGGAGGCCTACATAACTGCCCTTGCATAGGTAGCGTTGCGCTGGATCAAGCGAGTGGCTGTTGGAAGACCCTACGTCTGGCAACAGGTCTCTGAACCATGACACACAAGCTGGATAACCCAGTCATGGCTGTCAGAAAATTTCTGTGAACACATCTGACCACCTAACTCCACAGACTGCAAACCCCTTGATTATTACGTATAGGGTGCAGTTGAACGAGAGACCAACAAGACTCCTTGTTACACGAAAGATGAACTGACGGTGAGGATTATAGCAGCATTCACCAACTTAAACAAGGAGACCGTTCAGAAGAGTTGCAGGAGATTCCGAAATCGTTTGGATGCCCTGGCTGAAGCTAATGGCGATTTTATTGAATAAATTTACTCTTTAGTATTTCGAGATATTTTTGTGTAATTTTGGTAAATATATCTGTTAAAATGAGATGCCTGTGTTATTCTAATATTCCAATATTCCGAGTGTTATTCCAATATTCCAATGGTGTTAGTCCAATATGTTTTGTTTATTCTTTTTATATTTTGAACTATTTTCCATGGTTTCCGTTGAAAGTTGAAATATAAATTCTCACAATATTTGTATTCATTAAGTTTTCATAAGACATTATCGAAGAGTTTTTGTCTTTTATGGTCGGCGAATTTCATTCGTTTTTCAAATATTACGTCATCACACGTCTTGCTTTTTCGCATTTTCACGTACTGTCTTGTTTCTTATTTTTGTTCTATTATTATATTTCTTTTATATATCTATTCCTAAATTTCAGCGGTTGGACAACGAGAAGGACAACTATGAATTCAAACCCCCTGCCAAACATTTTATAGGCTAGCGTGTTTGGATGATGTCCATTGTCTAATAGGCTCTGGAAAGATCCTGTAATCCGTTGTAGATTGTGTAGATAGATTGTGTAGATAGATAGATAGATAGATAGATAGATAGATAGATAGATAGATAGATCAGTAATCTTTACCAAAAAAAAAAAAAAAAAAAAAAGAGAAGATGTCTTGCAATTTCATCAGTTCTTCAGATTTTAGGAAACGGATTAGGCCAAGGTCTGTTTATCCTCCCCTGCGATCATATGTGCATTTACTGTGTAATAAATGTGAAATTGTGTAGTATGTTGAACGCCTGTTATATGAATGATTCATTGAATGCTTATGTATCTGATCATGTAACTCCTGTGAACATAGTTCTTAAAACAATGATGACGCTTACAAAATTAGATTTCCAAACATAATCAAGAAAGAATAAATATGAATGAATAAAAGTCGTCTGAGAACTCTGATCTCTTGGTCTCTCAGTCTTGACCCATCAACTATAAAAAAATCTATGGGAAATCTGAAAGCTTTTTTTAAATCATAAATCAATTGTCCATGTAAGTCGGCTTTTTGTTGTTGTTGCTGCTGCTTGATTTTTTCCTTTGTATGACCACTTCCGGCCAATGATGAGAACCAGTGCCCGGCAAAAACTTTGTGAGTAGAAACCTTATTCTCAGCGGCATCGAAAATGCTGGGAAGGTCAATCGACGACTATTTTTGAACGGAGCTCATGACACAAATGAAAATTTTATTTGCTTTTGTGTGAGTGGATATACAAGAATCTAACATCGATTAAAGTATTTTTTTCACTAACAGACTATTTCAGAGATGATTTTTTTGGTTACAAAAGAAGTGTAGCCGAAAATATGTGACATATGGAGAATTGGGCGTCAAGTCTTTAGCAGTCCATTTCTTTCGAGATCCATTTTGTGTTCAGAGCACTATACCAAAGACAAGTATAATTTGAAATCGATATTCAGTTTAGATTGATATTGATTGATTAAGCCTTTCTTAATACAAAGTCATATCAAGATGGGAATAAGAAAGATTGTGCGACGCGTTGGTTCCAAATAAAAAAATGTCCTGCCTACATGAAAATCAGAATTAAGGCCACATCACGTTGAAACACCGTTTCCGGTACGTTCACCGACGTTTAACAACGTCGAGCCTGGATAAGTGACCGCTTGTGAATACCAGGTGCTGTAAGATTGGATATGAGGATGGTGCAATATCTAATGACTCAGAACTTTTATTCGGAGAGCCGAGTTTCAATTCCAGTTGGGTTCGTTATATTCACTTACGCGAAAATGTATAAATCCACCTCTTTTCCAGTTGTAGCTGGAGTTCTCGGTGTGATTGGAAAAAATTCACCGAAGGGATTCCTGGTAGCTCAAGCCTTAAAGAGATACAAAAAACTGTACTCATAATTACGAAACCCACACTTTACGAAGGGCTTTATCTATGTAAAATATGTGTGATTTTATTTTTTTAGAGCGGAGTCGGGGGGCAAAACTGCTCAGTGAAAAATGTCATTGTGCCATTTCTGACCTTAGGTCTCTAGTTGGGACCCAGAAAGAAATGAACATACATCAATAATAATAATAATAATAATAATAATAATAATAATGGAGACTGCAAAGACAGAATGTGTCTCCTTATTGAAAAGGAAGTCCCTGCAGACTGCAATAATTTTTTGAAAATTTTCAAAAAACTATCACAATAGTTGAAATCGAAATCTCGAAAATGTGGAAATTGAGGACATCAACATTTCCAATTGTAGTTGGAGCCCTCAGACTGATTGGAAAAGATTCTAATAGACTCATTGAAGGAATCCCTGGTAGCCCATTCCTTAAAGAAGTACAACAAATATATTCACAAGTACACCCCAAACATTACGAACAACTGTATCTGTGTAAAGTATGTGCAATTTTTTTCAAAACTGCTCAGTGGAAAATGTCATGACGCCATTTCTGACATTAGGTCTCTGGTCGGGACCCGGAAAGAAATTGACTATACGCCATAAATCAAAGGAAATAAAACAGCAGCAGCAGCAGCAGCAGCAACAACAACAACAATAATAATAATAATAATAATAATAATAATAAATGATTTAAAGTCCAATCCGTGTGGAATTGCTAAATATATATATAGTGTTATCCGATGATAAAAGTCTGAGAAAATTGGCGGCTCTTGATAACTTTTTCTGGTTATATTTAATTAGGAGTAAGATCAATTGTTCCACGAAATGATCATTCTCCTCTTTTCTCCTGGAACCGATTGAAATATTTTTCTAATTAAGAGCACCACATTAATAGACCATGAGCATATGAAAGAAAGTACAGTCATCATTTGCCCATGGCTTCGTAGAGGAGAGAAAGCTTTACATTTACATTCATTTTTGGTACGATATGCTCAGTGTGCATGGTTGTCAAGACAAGGAACAAACGCAGACATCAAATTTCGTCAAGTACAAAATATTACTTTTGTAGTGTAGAGACAGATGATGGCTAATATGGCACAACAATCTGAAAGTGAATAGGAATAGAAAAATATGTCTTTCATAATTCGAACAGAATAACTGGTTCCATTATGGTTAATATTTATGAAGTAGATTTTTCATCATGATAGTCAACTTCTAAGAAGGCTATTTGTCTTTCATTCTGCTAAAGGCTGCAATGATGTCATAGATGCCATCAAGCAACGCCATGAAATAGCGTATAAATTTGAATACTTGGTATGTTGATTTCACAGTATATGACCGCATCAATAGAAATTTCCTTTTCTCACTAATAAGAAAACGTTTTCAATGTTCGGAACCGACTAAATGTTTTCATCTGAAAGAGGAACTATATTGATCCACAAAGTCTCACATGTCTGATGAAGACACAAAAAACCTGAAGCATTTCAGATCTTAGCAGGAGTACGACAAAGAAGCAATGAAAGGCTGAATTTGTTTAATCTCTTCCCCAACTATGCTTTGCGCATGTGCAGACACATATGTGAAGAAAACGTTTAAATATCCCGCAATCCATCTCAAACGAATCTACTCATAGAAAAAATCGATCTTGTACGACAAATATCAGTAATAATTATTTTTATTTAATGTTAATAATTATTTTTTATCTAAGGATAGAAATTCATTTGACCTTTTCTTTTATTAGTGTTTCTTGATAAGATTAATTACGTTTTAATCTTTTTTCAATTTCTACGAATTTTGTTTTTTGCAAATATTAATAATATAAGTGTTTATTTGAACAATACTACTACTACTATTACTACTACTACTGCTAATAAAAGGCTTACCTTTATATCATGCTCAGTCACCGAATTTCAGCTACGTCGAGCCTGGTCATTATCTAGATGGGTAACCGCTTGGAAATACTATGTGCTGCTAGATAGAATGAGCGGTTTGTTTTAAATAAATGGGAATGAGCTACCAGGAATCCCTTCAGTGAATATAACAAACTTGATGAGAATTTGAACTCGGAGAGCCGAGTTCAAATTCCCATCAAGTTTGTTATATTCACTTGGGAAATGTATGAATCCACCAGTTATGCGTTTATTTGTAGGGAATTTTGATCAGTGCTCGCATATGCTGCAGCCGGAGTAGTAATATGTGTCTCTAGAGCTAGGGTTCAAAAACCTTTTAAACTATCGATCTTTTCATGAAATTCTAGAGCCTTCGTTAAATCCTAAATATTAGTAGAAATTCATTTTCTTTTATTGGTGTTTATCGATAAAATTTATATTATTATATTAGCTTTACGTTTTGTCAATCCTTTTTCAATTTCTACGAAAGGTTTTTGTACAAATACTAATGTTGCTTTTCTTTGTTTAACGGCATATACAATCCTTATGTGTCATATAATGCTGAAATTGAAATTTCTTGGGAGCTTTGAAGTAATAAAAATATATATGCTATTCTGCTTTAAAAATTGAGGGCGTGGTAGATGATACTCAGCTTTTGTGCATATACATATTTGTGTGGATATAATTACTAGAGGCGGTCGTATATATGTTTTATGTTGTAGTTTATTTTTGAGTCATATTTTGGAATAGAGTTTGATTTCTTTCAGAAATTTTCGGATATTATATGAATTAATGCCATAAAAGTGTTCTTTCGTGTTGATTTTGTTTAGCGGCATATCAACTTCTATGGGTTATTTAATGCCAAAATCTGAATAATTTTAACGCAATAGCGTGCCTTCAACTACAGATAAAATGTACTGTTGGTCATTCTACTAAAAATAGGTATTGCGTGTTATTTTCCTATTAACATGTATTGCTGGTCATTTACTATAACAATTTATTTTTTATACTTTCACAGTGTTTTCTTTTTGTTCATTATTTACCCATAGCTGTGATTCTAAAACTTGCTATAACCACGAGACAGGTTGCATCTGGGAACATCATCAATAAAGAGGTTGTTCCAAACTCCTTAAAAGCTCCACTCTCCCAATCAGAGCTCTTGCTGCTGGGTGAAGTTTATTATCATACCTAGGACTATGTACATATACTAATACTACTAATACTTGATGCTTGTTAGAATGAGAGCGCTTATATATTTAATCACTACTAGACTATGTTTAGCGCGTCCAAGCAGTGATGTCGACCGGGAACATTTAAACAGTCCGTATAGACTGTATTCTACTATTGAATAGTATAGTATTGATAGTATTCAATAGAAAACAATGCTGTTGATTTCCTGCCAACAATAAGGGTATCATAAGCGTATTGGGGAAATGGCGCATTTCATTTTACCAATGAGAAAACGGTTTCTATATTTTCTTAGCAAAGAAAAGAAACTTTGACACATGAATCCGTTGATGCATTGAAATACCGTATGATGTATTGTAAATGCTAAATAAAGTATTAAGAAACGAAACAAGAAAATTGCATTAGTCACAAAGAAAGAAGGAATGAACTGTTTTAATTCATAACTTGTTGGTTTTAAATCCCCAAGTATGTTTACTTTCTGAGTGTAGCTTAGATATGGCACAAAGCCGAAACTATGGGTCGTTCACTCAGGATAGAACTCACTACTCATCATTGTTCTAGCTAGACAAGCTTGCCAAACATGACATCACGCCGAGGTTCCCATTTTACTTCTAAGTGTAGTTCAGATGTGACATAACTCCGAAATTATGGGGCAACCAGTGAAGATCAAACTCGCTATTCAGTCGTAATTGATCTAGCGAGACAAGTTTGTTAACCATTACACCAGGTCGAGGTGTCCTAAATCATTAAGCATGATGCCCAATCAATATTCGTTATATTTATTCGTTATAATGTTATTTTTTGAGCTTTTTTCTACATCATGACAATGATATGAATATATACATATTTGATTTTTTTTATACGAATCTTTCTCTTTTATCTACATCGTTCACTCGTGTGCTTTTACTTTCGCTCCAGCACGTATTAAGTCGATGGTGGACGTCAACAAGGCAAGAACAATGCGAAAAGCCAACGAAAACGAGGTGAAAATACGTCCACCTGGTGATTCAGGAACTGTTCGCCCTGACATATTACCTCACCCCCACCTTCTCTTTCCAGGTTCTTTATTTCAATTTGTTTGTTGAACTTCTGTTACTTTTGTATTATTCTGGGGACGTTGGAAGTTGACTCTGCTGGAAAGGGTTCATAGGGAGGGTGCACACACACACTCACACATACATGCGCACACATACATACCTAGCACAAATACAGGATTTAGCAGCGATGCAATAGGTAGCCCCTTTAAAAAGGCAAATGCCTACAACATGAATAAGTGAGGCTAACGGCGTTGAAGAGGGGGAGTAGAAGAGACACACAGGCAAAGAATACAGCAAAAAAAAAAAAAAAAGAAAAAAAAAAAGAATCTTAATTGCGACAACCTCGCTGAAAAAAAGGTCTCTTGACGACTACTCGGCCATGTTTAAAGGGTCCTCAGGTGTTTCGATTTCAATAAGAAGTTCCAAACATTAGCAAGTCATGTAATAAAGTGGTCTTTATTATAACAATCATCCTTCGCCGACCGTCTACCCTATTGTCACCCCCTATTCGCTCCCCTTTGCAGTAACTAAGCCCTACCTGATTCAACTACCCCATAAGCCTCTATCCATCTAAACAAATTCCCCCTCCACCATCCAAAAGTTCAATGATCCTTTTTAACTCGACTCCCCACTTTTATTTCTTTACCTAATTCACTCTCTCGTTTTGCAATTTTCTGTGGTCGAACCCACATCAGTTTCGCGTCCTCATTAATTTCTGATTGTACCATAGAGACTTGGTAATGTGTGGTTGACTGAGTCAAAATGAATCTATGCTGAGACGTCGACATGAGATTTATCCGGTTTTTTGATCGACAGATTTTCTTCATTTGTTTACATTCATCTGTTCGTTAAACATACACATGTCCGAAGAAGATTTTATATGTTCGTAGTTTTAGCGAAAGCAATAAACAGCGGCACTCCCTCCACGCGAGACGAAGACATAGGACAGAGGTAGCAGCTAAGAATGTCAACGGAATACCTGCACCATTAACAAAGGATCCTTGTCATACAGCTGTGTGTGGTTGACAAACGGGGAAATGGCACTCGTAAGCATCTTAATTACGTTGCTTTGAAATGTCACTACAACGATGAATCGTTTTTACGATGAACTAAAAAAAGCACTAATACAAATGTATGAATATCAAACAAACAAAAATGTTTTGTTAGATTTTAAACCTTTTCATCCAACCAGTTGAGAGAATTCTTTTTTTCCTTCATCAGCAAAGTATCATATGAGATACTATATTGGTGTAAGTAGGCCAGCGTTAATAAGATTAATGGTGTGGTGTGTGGTGTGTGTGTGTGTGTGTGTGTGTGTGTGTGTGTGTGTGTGTGTGTGTGTGTGTGTTACTATGTGATGGTCGTTAGTGTATTGAACTAAGTGATAACAACAGAAAAAGTTTAGAAATAACCTTAGTCTTCAATGGAGTCAGTCGGCCGAAAAATGCTCTATTTTGGAATAAAGTAATCCGGGCACAAATTACCTAATTAGTGTCAGAAGAAGAGGAAGTTATTTAAAAGTCTGTTGTACATTTTGAAATTAGCATGAAGGTGTTATTTTATACCGTCGACTGCGTTGATCTTAGCACATAAAATTTTTTTGTTCCTCACTGAACACATGCGATAGAGTAAATCATTTCCGCTGTCTTGCTACAAAGAATGACATATATAACAGCATATTTCTTATACTTATTGCATTCTTATGAAGATTGAGTTATTCCTGACGATTCAAAATACAATTTAAACAGAAACTTAACTGGTGATTACTAAAAAGCAAACAAAGTAGTTCGTTGATAAAGTTATGAACGAATAAAATGTCTGAGATTTGCAAAATTAATAAAACCATAGTGTGAGAGATTAATAGAATCTGTTCTAAGAAAGAACAATAAGTAACGTTAACTGAGAAAAGCTTCCGTAGATATTATTTTCAATATGCTTTTGAAAATGTTTTTCATTAGAAAGAATGTTTTTTGCACGTTCGAGTTTTTGGTCAAGTCTAGAATTATTCCGTTCACAGCCCATGAAGAAATTATCTTGGACACTAAAATTCTTTCAAACATTGTTTTGCTTACTAGATATTCGTTTATCATGATTTCGTAAAAAAGAACCGTCTTCCACTTATATGAAGCTTTGATAGTACATTTCCCTGCTTTAACCACATCTCGGGAGCGATAATTATATATTTTCAGTGCAAAGTTATGAGGTTAATTATGCTACAATTTGAAGAGATAAAAATTTGAATAGATTAGCTCTGCTGAAACATTTTGCCAATTGATTGTCATAGTATTTATTAAGCTTGACTTAGTCTCGGGCAAAGCCAAATGGAATGGAAGGAAGGAAGATTTTTTCGCGCCAAAATTCTAAGTAGAAAATGTCAGACTGCAAGCTTAAAAAATCAGAATTCAACTTATTTGTGTCTCCCCCAACATAGAACCCCTATTTTTGACTAACAGGCATTGTTTGTTTTTATTTTCCCCATTCTTCTTCTGCGTACTGCATCGCTTCAGAACATAGGCGGTCATAGCTCTCTACAACTTTCTATTTCATACATTCTACTATCTCTCTTGCCTACAATATGCCCCGTGAGGATTAATTTTTCGAAGCTCTCCTTCCTCATTATGTCTCCAAGGATTTTTTCCTGATTCTGCGTATAAATATTCTTTCTGTTGCCATTTTCTTTAAGACTTCCTTGTTGCTTACACGCTCCGTATATGGAATTTTCAGGATCCTTCTCCAGCATCACATTTCTGCTGCCTCTAGTTTTTTTTCCTTATCTGTGGGAAAATTGTCCAACACTCATTGCTACATAAGAGGACGGATATCATATAGCAATCCAAAATTCTTTCTAACAAATTTTTCCGTTTTTCATTACCTTACTTAGCTTTTAGAATGACTCTTTCGCTAGTCCAAAGCGTGTTCGGATCTCGGTGTCATATTTTTATCCTCTGTTAAAACTCTTTTTAGATATTTAAACTTCTACACCTGCTTGATGTTTATATTTCCAATGCGTAACTCGCATCTTGGGCCTTTTCGCTTGCTGATGATCATACTTTCTTTTTTCTTGAAGTTAATGGTTAGTCCTTTTTTCTTACTCTCTTCTATAGCCCTGTCTAGGAGACCCTGCCGATTACTTTTATAAAATTGGAATAACATTCATTTGAAACTTCTATGTGTTACGAAGTTAAGTTTATATCATGCGAATGTTATAAAATATGAATGTTACCAGTGTTGTTACCAGTATTGTGTGAAAGTAAGGTATTGTATAGAATGCCAATGTATTCTATAGAATATCTGGGTATTTTTTAGAAATGCATGAAATGATATTATTTTTTCTAATGTACAAAGAAAATTCGCTCAGATGCAATACAGCAATTCACGGGAACTTGACAAGCATTTTATAAATACAGGTAAAAGTCATATTTTTTGTGTTAATATCAAAGGAATGTGCGATTGAAATTGTCATTTAAATTCAAACTACTGGAATAAACAGAACATGAAAATAATGCAATGTTTATCGGAATATTTTTGTTATTAAGTTTCTTTTTTTAGATAGAACTTTGTTAAAATGACAATCTCTATTATTATGTTATTTTAATTATTTATTTATGTTACCTGGACAAAATTCTAGAGGGCAAAAACTAAGTGCACAAAAACCCAGAAAAAAGTAACAAATTTAACATTGAAAATTCAAGGAACTTTTAAACCAAATTTTAGTGTCAAATTGAGACAACAACAACAACAACAACAACAATAATAATAATAATAATAATAATAATAATAATAATAATAATATCCAGTTTATACGCTTATATGTACAAGACAGTTATTTCACGAAGAAAAACTTTATTTAAGATTTAATTCGGCATAATATTAAATCGTATACGATCTCCGTGGTTTGTTTACGTATTGGCACAAACTTTTAAAAACACCCTCCTCTAAAGACTTCCACGTGCTTATGGCATACTAGAATTCCCTAACTATGAAATATGTCGATATGTGACAGACAGTAGCATTGTTAGAAAACGTTTTTTAGAGTTTGGAACGATTCGCAATTTTCTAGAGTAAGCAGAGCGGACCCATAAACCTGTAAAGTACTCGACAGAAATATACTGGTGTGTACTCATTTCTTTCCGGGTTCCGACCAGAGACCTAAGGTCAGAAATAGTATCATGACATTTTCCAATTCTGAAAAAAAATCACACATATTTTACATAGATAAAGTAAAGTGTTCGTGAGAACATTTTTTTGTATTTTTTTAAGGCGTGGACTATCAGGGATTCCTTCAATGAGTCTATTGTAATCTTTTCCAACCATTCAAGGTCCTTGTATTTTGATAGCTTATTATTATTATTGTCTCAATTTGACATTAAAATTTGAATTAAAATTTCCTTGAATTTTCAATGTTAAATTTGTTTCTTTTTATATATGAGAATTTTTATTTATTCATGAGACTGGGATATTTTTTTTCACTTTGGGGATAACAAGAAGCTCGGATTTTTGTTATGAATTCGGATTTCATAGGTTTTAACTTCGTCCCCTTGTTGCCTATTATATTTTGAAAAGAAGAAAAAACATCTAGACAGTCTACAAAGCACTTAGATAAAGTATATGAGGTTAGAATTAAAAAAAAAACATCTTTCATGCTTTAACAAAAAACGTTAAACGCTATATAGATCAACTTATTTTCACATACTGCCGGTAACATGAATACTATTCTTCGTTAAAATCTTGTCCGGTGGAATTTATTTAGTAGGCGAATTAAGCGATGAATACATCTTTATTCAGATTTTTCTCAAAATTGGTGTGCTACTTTTTGAATCCAGGACACGCTTGAACATAAGAAATCTTCTTTTCTCATGGGAAAAGAATCGTTCTCTTCATTTTTTATGATGCTGAAATATATTTAATCGTAACAACTACAATTTGAAACCGTTCGATATGAGATTATAATTTATCTTGCGTTATTAATGACCGAACAAGAAAAAGTGTTTGG